TAATGCGAAACTTATACTTGGACCAGGAGGCAGTCGTCAGAACAGAGCAAGGGAACACTGCATGGTTCAAAATTCGGAAGGGCGTACGCCAGGGATGCATCCTATCTCCATACCTTTTCAACCTATATGCAGAACAGATTATCCGGGAGGCTGGGCTCTATGAGGAGAATTCAGTAGGAAAATTAATTTTCATTGTTAAGAGGACATACAAGTATGTTGTTGTTAGTTGCCCTCACATCAAGTACAACTCAGTGAACAACAGTTCTGAACCCTGTCCTATGGTGTGTCAACCTCACAGTCTCTAACACACTCAAACCAGTTGCTGTAGTCACTGTATCCATCCACTTGGTTGAGGGTCTTCCTTTCCTTTGCTATCCCCCACCTTTTCAAGCATGATGTCCTTTTCCAATGAATAGTCTTTCCTAGCAACATGCCCAAAGAATGTGAGATGACACTTCACCATCCTTGCCTCCAAGGAGTACACTTACTGCACTTTCTCCAAGACATATCTGTTTGTTCTTTTGGCAGTACATAGAATATGCAGTACTCTTCTCTAATATCAGTTCAAAGGCATCAATTTTTCTTCTGTCATCTTTATTCATTGTCCAGTTCTCAGCAACATAGCAAGTGATGAATAAGACCATGGTCTAAATTAGGTCCACCTTAGTCCTTAGCATCTTTGCTCCTATGTAATTTGGACAGATCACTGGCTACAGACTTTCTGAGTGCAATATATGTCTCCTGATCATGTATTAATTGTGGATTCAAGGAAGATGAAGTTAACAGTTTTGATCTTTTCTCCATCTATTATAATGCCACCAATAAGTCCAGTGTTGGGAATTTTTGTTTTCTTGACATTGAGATGCAATCCAGATTGAAGACTGTAGTATTTTATCTTCTTCAGCAAATGTTTCAAGTCCTCCTAACTTTCAGTAGTTAAGATCGTGTCATCTGTATTCTGAAGGTTACTGATGAGCCTTCTTCCAATCATGATGCCATATTCTTCTTCATAGAGTCTAAATCTTAGGATAATTTGTTCAGCACTCAGATTGAATAGTTACATGCTTTTCTTAATTTTAAACCATATAGTGTCCCCTTGCTTTGTTTACACAACAGCTTCTTGGTCTAGGTATAGGTTTCACAGGAGCACAATTAAGTGTTCTGTGATTCCCATTCTTCTCAATGTTAGCCAAAATTTGTTATTATCCATACAGTCAAATACCTTTGCATAGTCAATAAAGCATAAATTGGCATTCTTTTGGTATAAGAGTGCTGGGAGCCGAGCCGTTTTGTTCTACCTAGCTGAAGCCATTTTGTAATTCTCTAAGGACATGCCTGGACGTGTTGCCTCACCCTGGGAGAACAGGTTTCCTCTACTGGGAACACCCAACCTTACTTCTTCTTTCCACTCCCCCCATTGTGTTTCAGTTTACCCCACCCTGGAAGGATAGGTTTCAGTTTACCCCACCCTGGGAGGACAGGTTTTGGCTTACTGGGAACGCCCTGCTAAGTAATCTTACTTCTTTCCACTCCCCTCATTCGTTCTCCTATTATAACTCTGTATGAGTTCAATAAAGTGGAGACTTGATTGGAAATTCCATCTTGTCTCAATGTCTCTTTGTCTCCTGGGCCCCCCATTCTCTTTCTTCCTCTCCTAGGGTCACCGTTGAATGTCCCCGCTGGCCGGGGCATAATTGGCGCCCAAACGTGGGGCCCCAGGAACGAGGAAGGACGATGAACACTGCCCGCTAGAAGTGACCGGCCGGCCCATCCATTGAGTCGCCGTGAGTCAGGGACCACGAGTGCAGACTCGCATTGTTGCCAGCCGCAGGACTATTCGCCCTGAGAGACAGGCACGGAGCTGCCGCCACAGGATTACCCGCCCTGTGAGAGAGGCACGAGAGGCAGCGAAATTATGCGACAGGGATTAAGTGAACATGAATTGTTCGTAAAGGGGATCAAGGATTTCCTCAAGGCAAAGAGGTATAAGGGTAACTAAAAAAGATTTAAAGAAATTTTTCTTGTTTTTAGAAGATGTTTGCCC